TGGTGAACCCACCTTTAAGGTGGAAGCCCATGTATGCGAACTGAGAGCAAGACAGCTATTAAGAAGGGACAACCCAAGAAGGCCGTCAGCTTAGTTGCTGTAGAGACACAAGAAGGCAATCAGCAATCTCCCAGACATAGAAGGACTGAGATCACCTCCCTTGATCCTGGTGAGGGGGCTTCTGGTCTGGCACTGCAAGTGTCAGACAGTGAATACTGTTACCAGGAACAAGAATAGAGAGTCCCTGCCTTCAGCCAGGAGGAGGAAAGAGATGACTGGATATACTGGACTGTGTAGATTTGATGGCATGGCACATCAGTCCCACAGAAGTACAAGGCTTTGGTAGACACCAGTGCACAGTTTATGCTGGTGCCATCAGGATATAGGGGCACAGAACCCATTTGAATCTCTGGAGTGACAGGGGGATGCCAAGAATTATCTGTACTGGAGGCTGAGGTGAACTTAACAGGGGACAAGTGGCAAAAGCACCCCATTGTGACTGGCCCAGAGGCCCCTTGTACACTTGGCATAGACTACCTCAGGAGAGGGTACTTCAAGGACCCAGTCTGGTGGGCTTTTGGTGTTGCCACTGTGAACACAAAGAAGATCAAACAGCTATCTATCTACCCTGTCTGGCCTCTCGGAAGATCTTTTCATGCTGGGATTGGTGTAAGCAGGTGTCAATTGCTACCAGGACGGTGCACCAGTGGCGATATCGCATGAACTGAGCCTCCCTGGCTCCCATCCATGAGCTGACTCATCAATTGGAAAGCCAAGGAATGATCAGCAAGATGCACTCACCCTTTAATAGTCCCATATGGCCAATGCAAAAGTCTGACAGAGGGTGGAGGTTAACAGTAGACTACTGTGCCCTGAATGGTCACGCCACCACTGAATGCTGCTGGACCAGACGTGTTAGAGCTCCAGTATGAACTGGAGTCAAAGCAGCCAAGTGGTATGCTACAAGTGACATTGCATTCATTTTTTTTCAATTCCTTTGGCAGCAGAATGCAGGCCACAGTTTGCTTTCCTGTGGAGGGGTGTCCAATACACCTGGAATTGACTGTCCCTGGGGTGGAAGCGCAGCCCTACCATTTGTTATGGACTAATCCAAACTGCATTGGAAAAGGGTGATGCCCCTGAACATCTACAATACATTGATGACATAATTGTGTGGGGCAACAAGGCAGAAGAAGGTTTTGAGAAGGGAAAAAAGAGTAATTCAGATCCTTCTGAAAGCTGGTTTTGCCGTAAAAAGTAAGGTCAAGGGACCTGCTTAGGAGTTTCAGTTCTTGGGAATAAAATGGCAGGATGGATGCCCTTATATATCTATGGATGTGATCAACAAGGTAGCAACTATCTCTCCACCAGCTAACAAGAAGGAAACGCTGGCTTTCCTAGGCCTTGTGGGATTCTAGAAAATGTATATTCCCAGTTATAGTTAGCTTGTGAGTCCTTTCTATCAAGTAACCTGAAAGAACTATTTTGAGTGGGGCTTTGAGCAACAACAAGCCTTTGAGCATTATCAAACAGGAGGTAGCTCATGTGGTAGCTATTGGGCCTGTCAGGACAGGACCAGCTGTGCAAAATGTACTCTGCACTACAGCTGGGGAGCATGGTCTCACCTAGAGCCTCTGGCAGAAAACATCAGGAGAAACCCGAGGTTGACCATTAGGGTTTTGGAGCTGGTTGTATCAAGGGTACTGATGGGTCCTGTAGTGTTGTAGAATCATAGAATCATTTGGTTGGAAAAGACCTTTAAGATCATCAAGTCCAACTGTACCTGTCCACTACTAAACCATGCCCCTAAGGACCTCATCTACCTGCCTTTTAAATACCTCCAGGGATGGTGACTTGACTGCTTCTCTGGGCAAGCCCATTCCAATGCCTGATAACCCTTTCAGTGAAGAAATCTTTCCTAATATCTAATGTAAACCTCCCCTGGTGCAACTTGGGGCGATTTCCTCTTGTCCTATTGCTTGTTACTTGGGAGAAGAGACCAACACCCACCTCACTACACCCTCAGGTAGTTTCAGGTAGTTGTAAAGGGCGATGAGGTCTCCCCTCAGCTGCCTTCTCTCCAGGCTAAACAACCCCAGTTCCCTCAGCCACTCATCAGACTTTGCTCCAGACTGCTCACCAGCTTCATTGCCCTTCTCTGGACATGCTCCAGCTCCTCAATGTCCTTCTTGTAGTGAGGGGCCCAAACGGAAATGGTCAGAAGTGGAAAGCTGCTGTGTGGAGTCCCACACAACAAGTCATTGAAGCCAGTGAAGGAGAAGGTCAGTCAAGTCAGTTTGCAGAAGTGAAAGCCATCCAACTAGCCCTAGAGATTGCTGCTCAGGAAAAGTGGCCGGTATTCTATACTTCCTGGATGGTGGCTAATGCCCTATGGGGGGCTAATGTCCTAAGGGGGTGGCTACAGCAATGGAAGAAGACCAATTGGCAGTACAGGGGTAAACCCATCTGGGCAGCTGTATTGTGGCAGGACATCGCTGCCTGGGTATAAAACGTGGCTCTAAAGGTACATCATGTAGATGCTCACATGCCCAAAAGCTGCGCCACTGAAGAACACCAAAACAATTAACAGGTAGACAAGGCTGTCAAAATTGAAATAGTTCTGTTGGACCTGGACTGAGAGCATAAGGGTGAGTCATTTGTAGCTCAGTGGGCCCATGAAACATCAGGACATCTAGGGAGAGGTGCAACATATAGATGGGCTCATGTTCGAGGGGTAGACTGACCATGGAGGCCATCACACAGGTCACTCATGAATGTGAAACAAGTGCCACAATCAAGCAAGTCATGAGATTGAAGTCTTCTTGGAATAGAGGGTGGGATTTCAGTAATAAGAATTAAATACAATGGGATGGTTAGAAGTTACATGTGTATTAAATCATGTGGGACCTGAGCATGACACAAATGGTATGGAATAGGCTGTCTCTGCAATGCTTCCCCCTTCAGCAGTAGGCTGAGGGTGGGCAAGATCTTGGGAGGCGACAGAGCCAGGAGAGCTGACCAAAAACTGACCAAAGGGATATTCCATACCATATGACATCTGCTCAGCAATCTCAGCTAAGAGAAAGAGCAGGGAGGGCATTCGTTATTACAGTGTTTGTCTTCTGGAGCAACCGCTATGCCTACTGAAGCCCTACTTCCTGAGAAGTGGCCAGCCTGCTGATGGGAAGTAGAGAATAAATCTTTTGTTTTCCTTTGCTTCCACACATGGCCTTGCTTTTGCTTTATTAAACTGCCTTTATCTTGACCCACAAGTTCTTTTCCATCTTATTTTCTCCCGCCCTGTCCTGCTGA